AATTTTCTTTGCTTTCCTTTTCTAAGTTTTGTCCAAACATAATACAAACCTAGATTCACTGTGTAATCCTTAGTCTCCCACTTTGAGCCAAAATAAAAGGTAAAGATGAAGAATAAAAGCCAAAATGATCATTTCTTTGGTACCGGCATCATGAACCTTGGAAGTGTTGAGTGCAAAGTGAAGGGTATGCTAGTTTAAGTTAAGTGATTGTCATCATTCAAGAAGCTAAAGTTCAAAATCTAAGGATAAAAGGCCATCTTTTGTCACCCTTACTCCCAAACACTTAGCTGAAAAGATTTATCTTTAGTCAACCAATTTGAGCCTAAAATTGTTATCCTTTTTTTGGATACCAACTCCAAAACTTGGGAATTTAGTTGCATGCCTAGAGCAATTTCTCCTTAAAAGTAAAACAAAAAAGAAAAAACTCAAAGTAAAAACTTAAAATAGAATAAAGATTCTACAAGAAAGCAAAACTGAGTGATACAAAAGGAAGAAAACCAAAAAAGAAAGTTCAAAATAAGTGAAGCTCCCAACAAAGGTATGCAACTTAGGGGCAAATTGGAAATTTAAGCTTTTAATGACCATTCTTTCAATAACCATATCCCAAACCATGTTACAACCCAAAGTAAAAGTCCTTTTTGAAGGTTTTGAAACTTTAGATATCTTGAGGATTACAATCACTGTGCTAAAGATAGCAAGGGGGCATTTTGAACCTAATATCCTTTCTTTCAAATTAACCAAGCCAATGATCACATTACAAGCCAAATAAAGTCCTTATCAAAGGATCTGAAAGCTTTTGAAATTCTAATGCGTTTTGAGTGATAAAAATATATGATTGCCTTAAAAAGTTAGGGGCAAAATTGTTGTACCTATGATTTTGATGATTACAAAACACATTTGAGTGATTAATTGGTTTATTTAAGTGTGTAGTTAAATTGCTAAAAGATTGCAAAGTAAGTAAACTTGGATTGCACTAAAAGTGAACCAAAAGGCTTGAAATATGTGCAGAGAGCTGGCTCTTGAAACCTACAACTGGCTCTTGAAACCTACAACTGGCTCTTACAACCTGCAGCCGGCTCTAGTGAAAGTGCAGTGCAAAGAGTTGGCTCTAAGAGCTGTAGTCGGCTCCGAAGGAGAAAAATTCAAGCCTGTTGTTTGGCACGCGTGGAAAACAGACATTAAGTCGACTCTAACTTTACAGCCAGCTGTAAAAGGGCATTTAATGCACAACGATCAAGTTATTTGAAGATTAATTAATGTTTATAAAGTCGAAATCCCAAAGCCGGCTTTACATTTTGCAGCCGGCTGTGCAAGAAAACAGAATGTGCAGAAAACCCACAAAGTCAGCTTAAGGAATGTAAGCCGACTCTACAAAGAAAACAAAATGTATAGGAAAAACCCGGCTTGCAAAGCCAATTGTATCATTCTAAGCTGACTGTGCAAAGTCGACTCTATACTTTAAGCCAATTGTGCAAAGCCGGCTCTATACTTTAAGCCGGTTATGCTGACATTTCTGCAATTCAAAATTACATGACCTGTAGAGCATTAAATGACCCCAAACAGCTAGTGACGGCTATTTTCAACCATAAAGTTATAAATATGGTTAGTAGAAAATATGGAACAAGTTTGAAGAGCATTGTATTGAATATCTTTACCTACCAACTTGTGCTTTACCTTGAGATTTTGATCTTTGAGAGATCTTTACTTGTAATCCTTTTCTTATTCTATTTCTGAGTGATCTTGGGGATGTGATTATTCCTTCAAGAGTGATTTGTAGAGAGGATTGTTTGGGTTTATCTTGTACATGGGTGAGATTTGAGAGAAATACTCATCTTCTTGTAAAATAATTGAGTAGCTCCTTTAAGTCACCCTTGTTTTTGATAGTGGAAAGTGTGAAGAAAATCCTTGGTGAGTGAAGCCAAAGTAGAGGATTAGGCTCTAAGTAGACGGATCCTCTATAAAATCATTGAGCAAGCTCTTCTTTCTTACTCTCTTTAATTCTTTGTTTTGTGGTTACAAAAAAGAGAAAATTTTTTGAACTCCAATTCATCCCCCTCTTGGAGTGCATTGAGCCAACAAAAATTTGAGAAATTTGAAGTTGCTCCATTCAAATGATTCAATGACCATGAGTTGAAGATATCATCTTTATATTTTATGAAAAAATGATTGTAATTTTTTGAGATAGCAAAGAAAAGACGCTTCTCCTTTCTCAAGAATTTCAAATCTTTCATCTTTTGTCAAGAATTCCAAGCCTTTCATCCTAATCATGTCATCCATTCATGAATATCAAGCTCCTCACAATAAGTATCAGTTCCGTCTCTCTTTGTTCATATCAACATATCCTCACTTGACATATCATTCATATAAAGTTTCCTCATCAACAAAAAGAAATAGCTTTTGTTTTATTCATGTTACTCATAAAGAAAGTAGAGAGCTCACATAGAGCTAAAACAACAAGAATCCCAAGGGGATGAACTTAATTGTTGTCATGCATAATCATTTTGAGTAGTTGACATGTGATGCAATTCTTAAAGGCTTTTAGCAAACACAACCACATATAATGTGCTAATCCGTGGCTCTTTTGCAAGTTGGGGAAACTTCATGAGGCCCATAGAGCTCTTAGTTGGAATGATTGACAATGATGTTTTTTCAAATTGTATTACTTATTCAACCATAATCTATGAGTATTGTACAAGGGGTAATTTATGAAAAGCTACCAAGTTGTGGAACTCTATGCTAGATAAGGGTATAAAGCCTGATTTCCCGGCATATAACTTTTAATATATAGTTGCTTTGTTGCAGGAGATTTATCTAAAGCCATTGAATTGCATGATGACAAGATAAGAAGGGGACTGAAGCCAAATCGAGTTAGACATAAGGCAAATTTGAAATTCTAAAGGGTACATGCTTGATACCTTGTCTATTTGCAGGAAATGACTTTGTAGGAAAGTGTAGAAGTCTCCCTCCTTGGACCCTTTAATTTAAGGGTTGTCATGGCAGAAGATATTTCAGATTCTATCCCAAATTGATAATTGTTCAATCTGCATTGATTTTTTTAAGTGAATGCTAGTTTTGCCGCAAGAGTGAAAAGATAATTGTAGAAAGTTCTTTATGAACATTAAAGAATAGATAGGGTAGGGAATATATCATATGGTTGAAGGAAAAACAAATATAAAACTCTGTAAAGCGTAATGATTCACTACATTATCACAGATCCTATTCATAAGCATTGTTGATTTAATGAATAGATGAATAAATAAAATAAACTTTTATTTTATTATTTTCTTTCAAATGAGGGGTTTGTCAATCTTTTTTTTCAGCCAAGTGGTTTGTTTACTTGTCATTTAATTGTTTCTTGGAGAGTTAAAATGTAATAACACCATCCGTCCTTAGATAGATGGGTTTCAATGACTTGGGGCCTAATTCTAGTTTTTGATTTGTCCAAAATTATCCCCACGAAAATACCATAATAATGGTTTTTTGAATGATCAAGTAACTAAACAAACATCCATTTCTCAAGTTGCAAAATCAATCCCCAAGATAGTGTTTCCTATCCCCTGAAGTTAATACACTTCTTTAATAGGCTCAACTTTGAGACACTTATGACATAATCCCAAGAACAAAACATGTAGAATGGGAAGCAATCCAACTTGTTTTGATAGAAAACAAGTCTATAACATAAAAGTTGAACAAAGACAATATTGTCATTCGGCCAGGTCCATATTTCCCAACAACCTATC